TTGGGGGGGGGGGGGGGTTTTTTTTTGGGGTCCCTCCCCCTTTGCTCGGGGAAAAAAAAAAAAAAGTTAACCCCCCCCCCCCCCCCCCCCCCGACCGTGCGTGTGTGGGTCGGCGTCGATGGCGGATTTCCAAGTAAAAAGGCGAGCCGCGGAGGTAGGGGGAGGGGAAGAAAAGAAGGCCGGAGTCAGAAACATGAGCGTGCGATGGAAAATCGAAAGCCGAAGATGTGCGCAAGCGATATGTATGAGGAACAGGGAGAGCCCACGGCAAGGGAACGAACAGAGGTCTAATTCCACCAAGCACGAGGATATGTCCCTCGCATATACGTAAGTGCGGCACTGTAGACGGACGGAAGAGACGCTCGTCTACGGAGCTTGCCACCGACGGTTGAAAAGGTGGCCTAAGCGCGTGGAGGGCTGTCTGCCTGCGCAACACCCACGCTTACAGTACGGTAGAGTACTTGGTGAGGAAAGGATGCCGTGCCGAGGTCACAGGAAAACAAAACCGACCAAGCAACACCTGTACCTCATTATGTCCAACCTATACTGTACATACCCCAAAGAAGGTGCAGCCATACATACATGTGGAAGGTACAACGACGAGGCAGCCGCCCATGCAATCCCCCTCTAGATCGGTGTCCAAAAAAGCGCGCTAGAGGCGGTCACGGCCTTCTACCTTTGATCCCGGCCTTTCTGCCCCCTAGCGATCCTCTTTGCTACGATGGCAGCGACGGCCATGGAGGGGTGAAGAGCCCTCGATACACGGAGCCCCGCGGCATTGGACATGGCGATGTTGCACATCCTTCGATGGGATAGGGGGAGGGGGGCATGGGAGGGTAGAAACATAAACGCAGCAGTCAGTTAGTTGCAGCGGAGGTGGGCACAATTTGGCGCGACGAAAACAGCAGAAAAATCAAATTTTGCAAAGCATCAGAACATGTTTGGGGGCATGGAATGGGAATCGGCAGCAACAAGTACGACGAAGGTTATGCACCAGGAAGAGTTTTTTTTGTTGGGGGGGGGGGGGAGGAGGTCTCCACACGCGCGAAGCCTCGCAGAGCAGTCTGTGTAGGGAACATGTGCTATGCACACTTGCAGAATGTACACGTTAGACTTCTTGGCATGGCCCGGGCCACGGATGGTCATGCGGCGGCCGACACTTCATTAGGACAGACCCACAACCCTGATCAAACCCAACAACAACGACAACGACAACGACATAAATACCTGACAACCTCGGCGTTCATTTCGTCTCCGGCGGGCCCCGGCTCAGTCGCTGCCGGCTGGTCAAGGGTTTTCCTGGCCTTGGCGATGTCTCCCAGCCGCAGCATTTCCTCCGTCATCTCCGTCGCTGTGGTTATCGGTGGTTATCGTGTCGTATCATACAATATACCATGTCGTATCTTATCATGCCATATCGTTTTGTATCATATCGTACCGTATCGTGTTTCGTATCGTATCTTATCGTACCGTATCGTATCGTATCGTGTCGTATCATATCTTACCACATTGTTTCTTCTCGTTTCGTATCATATCGATCATACAGTATATGATCTCCTATCAAATAATGTCATATCGTTTCGTTTCGTACCGTACCGTATCACATCGTACATGTACCATACCGTACCTTCCCATACCGTATCGTATCGTACCATACCGTATCGTATCACGTCTTACCACTTTGTATCATCGCATCACATCATACCATATCGTATCATGTCGTATCGGATCATATCACACACGCACAAGAGGCACGGAACGACAGAAGAATACTTGATCGACAATGTATATCTAACTCTATAACCCGATTTGGGGTTAGGTAGAGAAGTCTACTGCTCTAGTCTGGAGAAGGCTTGCTTCACTTCCGGCAGAGACTCTGATTGGAGCCGGCGCGTCCACCAAGCCAGTGCCCATTGTGACTTTTAGGGGGTACCGTAGGGGGACCACCAGGGGGTTGCGGTTCGAATGTTTAGAGCTTTACGCAGTTGACTAAGTCACGCGCCACGTCAACACCGCTCTGACTTACTAAACTCGACGATTCGAGGGGACAAAGTTTACCGCAGTCGGTTGTATTGTAGGTTATTCGGAAGCTACGGTGTGAAGCTTGGACAACGGTCAGTCGTGCGAAGAGACCGACGTCAACAGAAGAACAGCGACCAGCCGCGCGAAGAGACCACCGGCAACAGAAGAACAACGACCAGCCACTCGAAGAGACTAACGGCAACAGAACGACAACGACAAGCCGCTCGAAGAGACTAACGGCAACAGAACGAAAATGACCAGTCGTGCGAAGAGACCACCGGCAACAGGAGAACAACGACAAGCCGCTCGAAAGAGACTAACGGCAACAGAACAAAAATGACCAGTCGTGCGAAGAGACCACCGGCAACAGAACAACAACGACCAGCCGCTCGAAAAGACCACCGGCAACAGAGCGACAACGACCAACCGCTCGAAGAGACCAACGGCAACACAACCACAACGACCGGCGGCACGAAGAGCCCACCAATCACACCTCGGCGGTTCCTGGTGATCTGATTGCTGGGAAGGTGCCAGTGCACCTCAGGATTCGAGACGTCCGGAACCTTGTGCTTGTGCGCGTAGCAGTAGTGGTATGGGATCAGAGACTCCCTGTCCGAGTTGAGCATGACGTGCCCCCAGTACACTAGCTTCTCCGGCTGAAGGGAAAACGAAACAAAATTCAAGAAACAAGCGTGTTGGTTGTTCGGATTCTGCGAATGCACGTTGTCTTGGTGGGTAGATGATCTCGGTCTCAGCTCATCGCGCCCGGCGCACTCTAGATTCCGCTAGGGTAGCACATGTAGCCGCCCATGTTTCTATGCGGTTTTCTTGCCTAGTGCGTGGGCCAGCGCATGCATCACGAGCCTATTCTTACAGATTATGTTGCATATCAAGAGCCGCACACAGATAGCTACCACAATTTCCTAACCTCATAAAACTGGGTTGGTTTGATTTGACCCTCTTCTTCGATATGTTAGCTTCCCACAAGTGGCTCTCTACGCTTGAAGATCTTGCATGCATGCATTGTTGTTGTTGTTTTCACATTGAAAAAGCGTTCCGGTCTCCGCTCAGTGCCATCTAATGTCCGTACCGGTCCAACGGACGCGGGTGCCTTCCGGGGTCACAACCCAACTAACTGCCCCACCAAAGGGGGGGTACACCTTTCATGAAAAACAAAAAAGGCTCCGTGTTGTGGTACTGCCGTAGGCTTGAAGCAAGCGTAGCATTGAATGGAATTGAATGGATGGATGCCTCTCACCAGCCCCGAGTGGTGAGACATGCACCATGGATGGAAGTGGTTCCTGCACCCGTCGGCCAGGCATCGCTGCACCTTGTTCCTGCAATGCGGCAACAGCGATGATAACGAAGACGACGACATCAATAGCAACAACGACAGCGGATTGGCAACATCAACACCACCACCGCCACCACCACCACCAACAGCAACAGCAACAACATCGACAGCAACAACAAAGACAACGACAACCATGGCAATATCAATATCAACATCAACACCAACAACACCAACAACAGCGGCAACCGAGCAACAAGAAAGAGAGGCAAAGTGGCAGTCATGCCCACACCGAGAAGGGGTAACCCAATGTTGCTTCCATTATCCCTACGACCAAACTCCAATCATCTCACATGGGACCGCGAAAACACAACAACCGCTCTCATCCCTCGTCCTATACCCGTGGCAAAAACGGAAAACCGCGCAGACCGGGGTATGTATGGTGCTTGGCGTGGGCACAAACCACGGTGCCCCGGTGTGGTTCTCCTTCGCAATTCTCAACAGTACGTACGGTAGATGCCGTTTTTAAGTCTAGCGACCCACGGGCCACTGTCGTAGGCCCGGCCTTCCATGATCGCGCCTTCTTGACGGCAAACACTTGACACGTTGGCAAGGCACGCTCACTCACGGCTTGTTGCAGATGATGCAGTTCGAGCAATTGTGCGGGTTGCACGTGTCGCACTTCTCTGTCACCGGGATAACGGACATGTCCATGTTCTCGTGCTGGTCCGGATCCATCTGTCGTAGATTTCGTACATGTCGTAGATTTCGTACATGTCTGACATTTCGTAGATTTCCTACATGTCGCAGATTTTGTACATGTCTGACATTTCGTAGATTTCGTACATGTCGGACATTTCGTAGATGCGTTAGACGGTGCAACGTCAACGCAGGAATAAAAAAAATCAGAACCTACGTAGGGGTTGGTATCTATCGTACAGCAGCCTGCTCAAAAGGACTAGCAAAGGTCGTCGTAATATGTGGAGAAGTATTTCTAGCAGCAGCATGGTGGAGTAGGAACACACGTATCAAATTTGGTACCGGTGTCAAATATGCGGTATCTTGACATATATTGGTGTCTAGTCTATCGTTGGGGTGACAGGACAACGAAACCATTCCCAGCACCACCAGCAACGGTGGTCGACGTAGAACTGCAAGCGCGCAGAAACATTAACGAGGTACGATCGAGGTCCCCCAAATAGTGGTGCCAACAGTAGTGCATGCCGATAGTGTAGGCCGCCAATACCGCCATTTTTTTTTTTTAATTGAGCTTATGCCACGACAGCACAGCGAAGCTCGATCAGAGCCACGAAGCTCTGTACGCGCACCTTGAGCAGCCAGGAGCTGCAGTGGCCGTGCACCCATTTCCCGTCGGAGGTTAAGGCCAAGGCAGACACGCCTTTGAAGGGGCACAGCTCGCACTGCAGGGACGTCGTGGGCGGAAGGTCGTGCGAACACGCCCTGCAAAACCTGCCGTTGCAACGCCCACAAAACAGTCACGACACCATCGATGCCAACGGGAACGGGAACGGAGGGTGGTGCACGTCAACGCGCAGCGGTGTTGGTCATGACGAACTCGGTCTACGGGAAGCGTTGTACATTTACTTCTCGAAACGTCCATGTTCTAGAGCTAGCGGTACCACAGCAGCAACAGGAACGAGGTATTGGTGTAGTGTATTGGTCGACGCAAAGTTGGAACCGTTACCTTCGGGGTCGTTTGTGAAACCGTCTGCAAGAGACGCGAGATGGGTTTCCGTGTGGACGGCGTTATGAGGGGGAAAGCGCTGGCTCCTGCAAGCGAGGAAGTGGGCATCTACATACTTGCTTGTCCGCTTATTTTAGTCGGTAGCGCTACTACTTCAATCAAAATGGCGTGTCTACTTTAAAAGTAGTCCACAGCTGGAAATGCAAATGAACTAATGACCCACCGCGCCCCCCCCCCAGCAAAGTAACGACACCAAGCCCATACACAAGCTGGCACATGGGGATACATGCCCCTCGCGCAGAAATCCGCACGTGACGAGTTGGATCCCGTAGGTTCGATACGTGAGATACCACACCCCCCGGGCCGACTACCAAAGTCCACTCTCTCCACGACGAAGAGGATGCCACAAAAACAAATTATACTTCCCGTCCCGGCTTTGTAGGGATGCGAGGTCAATGATCAAACGTAAGTTTTTGGAAAGCTCTCGGCAAGATGATTCCAAACCCGCCATTTTCGGTGCAGTCGCTGCGTTTTGCTATAGGTTGGTGGAGCTTTGGAAACCTGACGGGGGGGGGGGGCGTACTCTTATGTTTTGCATGCCTTAGCGGTTAGACCATTGACCACGCGTCCTCGAGAGGACGGAGCATTGTTCCCACAGGATCGATCACCGATGGCCAATCGTTCCTTCCTACTTTGCCAAAGGTGGCTCAAAAATGTCTTCCCTAGTCTGTCTATCCTAACGATATCCCTTCCCGCCTTTTCAAACCACTTCCTACTCCCCAGTACAGCTACCTGACGAGGGGGGGGGGGGTGTTATCTAACGCAATGGTGGAATCCCGTCCTCACCAGTCGCCGTTCTTGTTCAGGACGGTGATGCCGTAGCAGTTCTGGTGTACGACCACCGGGCAGCCGCTGCAGGCCACGATGTCGTTATCGTCGAACGGCATGTCGTAGCCGCACACGCAACACCGCTGTTATTTTGTTGTCGTTGGCGGTAATGATGGTGTGATTGGTCAACCAACAAGGGGCGGCACACACATACGTACGTCAGCAGAGGAGGGAAAGAACGACGGTCACTTTGTGGCTCCTGAACGATTACGCGGTGCGGGACGATGTGTTTAGCTTCAACACAAGGCGGCCACCATCCATATAGTACCGACGTCTCTTCGTACAGCAGTCCAAGTTGGCGGTTGAAGCTGGGCTTGGCAGCGCGTGATTCATGTCGTCCACGGAGCGTTTCTCCGAAAAATGAACAGCAGTCGACACGAAAAATAGGAGTGCGGGAAGATGCACAGAAAATTAACCGGGGACACCAACCCTTTGCACCAAAGACGTAAATTGCCAGGCGCGATAGCAGGTGAGTGCGACAAGGTATCCCTTACACAACCAACTGCCGATCGTATGACATGACACGAGCAAAAATTAAGGTATGTTGGGCTTCAATGTGTAGTCTAGTCTTCATATGATCAATATGTTGTGACCAAAGCAGGTGGGTGCCGGCACGCGGTACGACAGCTCCGCGAAAACACGAGAAAATTGTGTGTGTGTGTGTGTTGGTAGCCCACAGCCCTGTCGGTTAGTTGAGGTACACATGTAGCAGGACTTTCACCCTATTTTTTCGTGCTGGCGAAAGCTTGTCGGCGGCGCCGTGAGGAGAAAAACGAGGTATTTACAGACTTCCTGCAATACAAAAGTCACGAGAGGGTACGTACAGTCGCCCCTCCCTTTGGAAAAGGGTATTGATTAGGACGGAGATTTGACATAACGATGCCGCTGCTAACATGTAACTAGCCAACTTACACATACGCATATGTCACAGTTTACAGAGTTATCCCTCTCGCCGGCCACAACTGGGTACAACACCTTCGACAATTCACTATTTGCATCCTCCCCATAAAAAGGTGGGTTGACAGCTAATATTTTGTGATACATGAGTCACCTGAGTGGCGGTCAACGTTCATCTGTGTGAGCATTGCATCTATTGTTGAAAAGACAGCGGCAGCAGCGAAAAGGTCTTCGTGTGATTTCGAGATCACTGCATTGTACAGAGATTGTACAAGCAGTGCACCCATCTCGATACAGCTGTTCGCTCTCACCAGATCGTCTTCATCATCGTAGCCAGTTTCTGGTAATGGAGGTGGGAGGCTATGTGCCTGACCCTCCGCTGTGGCACTGCCGTTGTTGGGAGGCATCTCCGGTAACCCGCTGTCTCTTTCTCTGTCTCTTTCTCCGCCGTTGGTGTGTGACACCGAGACACCAGTTCCCACGAGACTGTGGGGGCGGGAGACCTTGGGGGCCCTACAGATGTGAAACCCTGTGGACCCACGGTATGCATTAACGCTGACTCTATTGCTCGTGCAACCCCCTCCGATCTTGTCTTGGCCAAACAAAGTCAGATGGCAGGAGAGAATAGAGAGGGACACAGACCGCACGCGGCGTCTGCGACAAATCCGGATCGTAGATTAACAGGCGGGCCCTTTCCGACGGCGGTGGCGTCTGTTTCTGCTTCCACCGGAGAGAAAATGAGTACAATTGTACAATCAAAAAAAGAACAAAGTGGTGCAAGATCGTACTGCCACACTGAGGAAGATTTAAACTTTCATGCAGGAGCATTCTTAGAGCGGGAAAAAAACAAAAAAACAATTACGAAGTAGAAGTATCACGTCCCCCTATATACAATGTACAGCACGCGGAATTAAGAGCCCGACAATTTCGTTTTCCGTCGGGGGCGGTCTGCCGGCTTTGAGCTTCTTGCCCATTCCGTAAACCGTTCGTGTAATCGGCAACCTAGAGGCAGGCTTCGGATTGCCAAACGAAGGAAGCTGGCACGACCTAACTCCTTCGCTGTGTGTGTGACACGTATGGTTCCCTTGCGAGATGTCAGCAGTTCCCGGTTTGCTTTTCGTGCTGTCTTTCCGAAGTGCACATTTGCTGCCTTCCACAACAATAAAACACTCCCAAAAATAAGTTCAATCCCATTCCCAAGCATCATGATCCAATACAAGTAGTTAAAACTTCCCTGCGTGCGTATTTGACAACATGTGATTATCGCCAGTATCGACTGAAACCTCAGCCCAGGACGAAGCCTAAAGCGCTTTCTGCGAACACCCGGCAACCAGAGAAACTACTCAAAACGCCCCGCACGTGCAGGCCCACGCAGATGACACAAAGCATCATCAGCGGCGGCAGCGTGCAAATCAATTTGTTTGGTGGAAGAAGCTAATCCATCACTTCATTAACTTTCAACCACGGTTAAAACCATCGGAGGGTGCGTCGCCCTCCTGCCCCCAACACCCCAGATACATCCATCCCGGAACGCCCGACACCCCTTCCTTGCAGTCCGTCTTCATAACTACTATTAATATATACATTCCGCACAACAAACCCGTCCCGTTATAAACACCGTGGAAACCCACTCAACGTCCACGAGACGGGGATCGACACATCATGGCCGACAACAAGAAAAGGTACACAAAACGGGTGCGACAAGAAAGGGTAGAGCGGCAACAACAACAACAACAAACGGCTCAAATTCGCCCGAAAGTTGCCGACTCAGAATGCCCCCCCACCCCCCCACCGGACAACAACTTGCTGCTGTCATCCCAAGATCCTTTTCTACCCCCCCGCCCCCACCCGTACCCTCGCATACCCCTTCCGCTGCCCCCTGCACCGTTACCGTTGGTGCTACAGTCGTCGTCGCCATCGCTTTCGTCGCTCTCTTGCGCTGTTGGCGTTGCGGAGGGTGCCGGTGTTCCGTCTTCCGTGAGGCTTTGGTAGCGGTAGCGCTTGGCTACGGCAACGAATACCAACAAGCTATCGTCGTAGTAGCAGTAGTAGCCCGTTGTTGTTGTTGTTGTTGTTGTTGTTGTTGATGTTGGTGGTGGTGGCGACGGTGGTGTTGTACATAGAGTGTTGGGAAGCGGGACAGGAAATACACATGCACGGGCGCAACAAGAACAAGGGGAGGGAGGTGCGTTCGTTGGTTCGTCGCAATCAAAGGGGAGGGAAGGACAAAAAACCGAACCAAACAAAATAATTCGTTCCGAGGCGGGCAACACTGATTTCTATTTGGCCCGTGCTTCTTCCGAAATTGAAACCATTCCGTCAGCTGAGTCGACCAGAATGCTGCTGCTGCTGCTGCATGAACATAGTCACTTGCTGCGAGCGTACACAGCAGTACAACCACAGGCACGACGAAGAAGCACACCTTATTGCAACGAGCCCCGCAAGAAGACAGAAGTAGAGCTCTAAATGCCCGTCGTTCAGATCATCCGTAACCCAGGGTGACCCGAAGGCCCCGGAGTTAACCTGCAATGAGCATGCCATTAACGGGGGGGGGGGGGGGGGGGGTGTCAGGGACTGTTGCGGTGATGAGTCTGATGGTGTAGTGCTTTGCAGGAATCGGGTGAAAAAAGGTTTGTGCTGCGAGGAACATTTTCGGGGGCCCAAAGCTGTTG